ATATATATATATATATATATATATATATATATATATATATATATATAAATACTGTATATACTACACCCATCACAGCCATGTTGCCTGCGTCCTCTGGTGTCGCTCAACAAGCTTAAACAGTTCATGGCAGTGTAACAATGCATTCAGACAGACGTTATCAAGCTGGCCAAAAATACTTTCTGAAGATGCTGAAGGACTAAGGGTCTTTGCGGACTTCATAAATGCTCATCTGCCAGCTATGCCTCATGTAAAGGGCCTGGAAGAATCTGCCAGATTGGTCAGCAGCCAGATGGAACCACCAGGTTATAAAGGCACCGATGGAATGTAAAGAGTTTCCCAGTTTCAAACATTGTGTTGTATTTCTATTATTGGAAGCAGAAGTTCCCTGCAACCCAGTCAGCTCCATCTATGCTCTTGGTTCTTTGAGTTGTGCAGTGACTAAAAGGAATCTAAAGGACAGCAAGAGGAACATGGCTAGTGTCTTCTGTATAAAAACAGATGCACACTGTGACAAGCAAATACAGAGCAAGCCATGCTAAAACACACATCAGCTCCAAAAATCAAGAGAAGTTAGCTGGAAGATAGAAGTACATATGTTAAGGACAATAAACTCTGTTGTGGCAGTTTGAAACAAGGTCACATTGTGAAGGGTTGTCGTCGCCACCTCACCTGTGACACGAGAATGCACTCAACCTGCCTTCACGATGGCAACTACATCAAGGATGTGGAAAGACAAAGCCATGTGAGTACACAAATTAATATATCAGAGAGAAAACAGCTGCTATGTCGTTTAATGTTACCAGGGAAGGACATGCTGCTAGTAGTTCAATGATTGTTCCAGTTTGGGTCATCTGCTGCAAACCCATACGAAGAAAAACATATATGCTTTATTGGACACTCAAAGTGACACCGCCTTCGTCGATCAAGAGGTGAGTCATGAAGATCAAGTGAAACTAAAACTAACCACCACGATGGGAGAGGAACACAGTTGTCTGGTCTCTGTGTGAGAGGTTACAGCTCAGCAACATACGTACCTCCACCTCCCTCCGTGTACACAAAGCACTACAAACCTGTAAACCTGAATGTATCGCTGCTCTTCAGTCGTAAAGCAGGTCTCTGTAGGTTAGAACTGCTCCAGAGCATTAGCACCTTAACAAGTGATATGGCAAAGATGATGAGCTGTTCAAACAGATATAAGGTGGAGCGTAGTTCAATTCAATTCAATTCAATTTATTTTTGTATAGCCCAAAATCACAAATTACAAATTTGCCTCAGAGGGCTTTATAATCTGTACACATACGACATCATCTGTCCCAGGACCCTCACATCACAACAGGAAGAACTCTCCCAAAAAACCCTTTAACGGGGAGAAAAGAGGAAGAGACCGTAGGGAGAGCAACAGAGGAGAGATCCCTCTATTGGGATGGACAGAACTAAAATAGATGCCATATGTACAGAATGAACAACATAACAGAGTTACAACACATTCAATACATATGACAGAACCACGGCAGGAGGCAAGACCAGGATCCAGGTATAACCAGGATCCACGGAAAACCTGCGAGGCGAGAAAGCACAAAGACTCCGGTGAAGAAGCAAAGTCAGTAATGTGCGTTTATGGTATCAGTAATAGCAGGGCCATGGCAGGAGGAAGGACCAGGGTCCACATATAACCACGATCCATAGAAACCTATGAAGCGAGAAAGCACAAAGACTCCAGGGAAGAAGCAAAGTCAGTAATGTGCATTAAAGTTGGCCGTTTAGCACCTTTCCTCGAAACAGGTATGAGGAACAGCCTTTGTCACTGTGTTGCTGTAAAAGAGATTTTCCCATTAACTCCCCATGTTGCAATTCGTGCATTAGAAAGTGAGTTAAAAGAACTCAGTGGGAATGACAACACAGTGTCTCAAGAGGATCTCATCTTCCTCTACAAACTTATGGAAGGCATATAGAAAAATGAGCATGGACAATATGAAATGCCATTGCCTCTTAATGAAAGGCCATACATGCCTGATAGCAGACAGCTCACAGAGGTCAGTCTCGGCCATCTCAAGAATAAATTCGAGAGCTACAAGGAAGATTATGCTAAGTACATAACTGGAATCTTCAAAAGATGTGACATAGAAGAAGTTCAAGGGATCACGGCATTTACCACCCGAAGAAACCAGAAAAATGTCATGTCGACTTTGAAGACCATGTCTTAGTCTTAAAAATGGCTCAACATGCCATCTACTGTTTTAAATCAGCCCAGAACCTTGCAGGCCAATGCTGACATAAAGCCGACCATTCGGGACTTTTCTGTGTCATAAAATCTAAAAATAGAATTTTAACACCCACTGAGCAACTCCCGCCTCACACGTGCACTCCCCAGATATGCTGATGGATGGGTTTATCAAGCAAAAATACTATTTGATAATCACTGAGAATTCTTTGTTCAATATTCAAACATTGATTATCGTATAACCAGGATTTAAACCACTGTAGAAAGTATCAATATATATCCGCAAGTTGTTAAATCCCTGAGTAAACTGGTATATAGTTACTAGCATATTTCCACCTCCTAAAATTTTATATTTCTACTTATAAGAGCAACGTTACAGTATTTAAGCCTTTAGTAATGTGAGGCAAAGGCAGAAATCCAGGCATCATGGGCATGGTAGCATCTGCCAGTGTGTGAATGTGTGTGTTAATGG